CCAAAAATGTGTGAATCTTATATGGAAACATTTATAAACCAACCCCCTGGGGGTTAATCAGAGTTTTGTCTTTTTTCTCAACTGAGGCAACATTTTAAAGAAAATCAGTTATGAGAGTTTTTGAAACCACTAGCTTTCCATGACTTTTATAACTGTACGTTGCCAGCATTCTAACACATTTATATGGTCTATATTATTTCATTTATAATCAGGGATATACTGATGTTTAGCTAGGGAGGGGGGACTTTAGCCTTTAATGTCACTTTATCGTCCATTTTTATTATTTTTAGAATTAAATTATACTCTGCACTCAGCGGCGTATTTAACTTTGCTGCTGCCCTAGGCAAGGCAGCAGCGCCACTCCCTCCCCCGCAGAACGCCGCCCTCAGCGAATCTGCAGCTCCAGGCAAACGCCTTGTTTGCCTCGCGGCAGATACGCCCCTGTCTGCACTGTTGGAAGGAGTCTTGATTTCAAGACGTGCAAAATGCTATTGTTCTTTCAAAGAATTTGTTTGTGTTTATATTGTTATAGCATAAGTGAACTGGTGGTTCATAGTTGTCTTATTATATTATACAGGATTTATATAGCGCCAACTAGACATGTGCGATTCGTTTCGTTCCGAATTGAAATTCAGACGAATTTTCGGAAATTCGGACATTCGGATGTATCCGAATTCCCAATTACAGACATAACGAATGCAAACGAATCCGAATTTCCATTTCCGAAATTCGGTAGCGTTAGTACGAACGTTCGTTTTGTTTTCTGTTCTTATTCGTTTCTTATTCGTTTCGTTCGTTGGAGCAAAGTGACATTAGAGAAGGAGAAAAATATTTTTTCCCCCTCAAATGTCACTTTTACTGCAAACGAACGAACGAAACGAATAAGAAACGAATAAGAAACGAATAAGAACAGAAAACACTGTAACGCTACCGAATTTCGTCCGAATCCGAATTCCGAATCCGAATTGACTTTCACACCCGAATCCTGAAAAACGAAATAACACAAATCCGAATTTAAAACGAAACTAAACAAATTTTTTGGCAGTGCACATATCTAGCGCCAACTGTTTGTGCAGTGCTTTACAATATAAGGAAGACATTTGTTACAATACAATTCAAGACAAGATGGTTAGGAGGGCCCTGCTGTTGAGAGCTTACATATTTTTCTGTGCTCAAACTTGTACTTAAATTTGCACCTTTGCATGTGAGTTTCTAATTTCCACCTGTTGATTATTTTACATCAAAATCTCATTTTGTTCCATCTTTTGAAAATCACTGTAAGCGGTGCTGAAAGATCTTATTAATACTACATTATGCTCAGAGGACTCTGTGCTAAAATCTCATTCCATTTTGTTCAAGATATTATCTTCTTCAATAAGCTTAAACAATTGCATCTAAGTGATCCACATTACATATGAATTAATTCTGTAATTTAAAAGGCCACTATATCTCCCTTCTTGCTGATAAGAAGATGATCTAAAGGAAATGCTTTGAAATCACTTGTAACATTTTACCCTTGAGTCCTATTTCTTTAAATGAGCAACAACCACTAGACTCTAATATTGTACAGTCTCAAACATCAACCTGTGGTGTTCTTGTGACAAAGATTTAAACAGGAAGGCCTTTGCTATCAATGCATGTGTGAAGGCAAAGTAGCAAGGATGTTTGCCTCGGACCCAAGTCTCATGGAGTCAGCAAGTCACAAATACTGATATTTGTAACCTTGTTGTCTACAGCTTGTCTGTGATGTATGGAGAATATATATATA